GGGTAAATGGATATACTATTTTGTGAAACTGAGTAATCTAAAAATATACTTTGTTTTATCTCCTAGTATGGTTATGCTCTGATCTTACCAATGGGGGTTAAATGTTGGCAATATCGACATGTATTTTGTGATTAAAGATCGATCTCCAAATCATACCACCGGTTATAACATAGTGGTATTTGTGATATTTATCGCACTATCGGTAATAAAATAGTGGTATTTGTGATATTTGTCACATTATCGATAATAGAATAGTGGTATTTGTGATATTTACCTACACAACCAATCACAGAATAGTGGTATTTGTGATATCTGTTTAGTGTAACCAATGGTTGCTTTTGAGATATTTTTGATTTATGTCATAAGGGTTAAGTGTGGTCGTAGCATGTTACAGGAAACCAACAAAATCTATTATATTTGTGAAATTATGTTTTGCTCTGTTATATGAAAATGAAATTTTGGAATGATATAATTCTAAATGATATTATCCAATATTCTGTTTTAATACCTATAGGAGTATTAGTAATTTTGACCTAAACGTTTTGAGCGTGCTTAATTTGGTTGAAGGGATATTAGTTACTTGCTAAGTCATCGTACTCACTTTTTCTTTCACATTTTACAGGTTGTGATTTGGTCAACCATGTGAGAATTATGAGGAATGACGTTTTGTAATCTAGTATATAAATTTGGATTGCCTTAAGGTTGTCCAAATGTTAAGAACTTTGAACTATCTTAAGTTAGTTATTTAAGCCATTATCATGACATATTAACTTCAAAGTATTGGAAACTTAATCCTAAACATTGTCAAATTATGACCTTTTGAATTCTATTGACAATTTTAGCTTTTATGAATTATTATATTTTTTAAATATATAGGCCCTTTTAGTTAGTTATATAAGATATGTATTTGAGTGTTGCATATCTGTAGGATTATATCTTATAGGTGTGCAGCATCTATTATGCCTCAGGTTCGAGGTGTTACAAATTTAGTAGTATCAGACTTAGCTTAAGCATAATTACTTAGTCAACTATTTAACATTTATGCAAGATCTAAGAGATGGGTACAAAAAAAATAATATTGGAACATTTTCTCTCAATTCATGCTCTAAATTCTTTCATTATTGCTTTACTTTAGTGTTTGATGAGAAAAAAAATACTAACGGTAATTTTCCTTGTTATGAATAACCAGTATGCCTCATCGTCAAAACCACGAGCATAATCTTGTTGAATTTGCAGCTAGTGTTAGAGTTATTGGTGTTAGGGTTTCGCCTCGAAAGACTTTGACATTTTTTGAACCAAAATCAAGATGATGCTAAGACATTGGATGCTTTGAGAACAATTGGAGTTAACCAACCTCCTGCCAACTCGATCGAGGGGACAAGGTATTGTGGTTGGAAATGATGATAGAGTATTGAATTTGATCCGCGAGGTAGTCGGATTGGTTAGAGAGCAACCAATCCAACAGGTAGATAATTCTACTAAGTGAAAAGCCTTGGGTGAGTTTACTAAAATAACAGCTCCTTTTTTAAAAGATCCACAAACCCTGATGATGCTGAATTATGGATTGAGAAGATGGAAAATGCTTTTGATTTCATGCATTCCAATGATCACAATAAGATGAGTTTTGCAATCAATCTGTTGCAAGGAAGTGCACATAATTGGTGGAAAATAGTAACATGCAATCATGAAAATGATCCAAAGTTTTTCAACTAGTGAAATATTTGCATCGCTTTTTATACAACTTATTTTCCTCGAAGCAAGCTATTACAATTGGAAAAAGAGTTCCTTAATCTAGTTTAGGGTACTATGATAGTGGATGACTATAAGGTTGAGTTTGATAGGTAGTCAAAGTTTTCTGTTTCATTTTTTTTTACGATGAGAGTAAGGTTAAGAGTTTTGAAAATGGTTTAAATGCTCACATTTGTAAAGGCTTAGCTCTATTGTATTTGACCAATTATGATGAAGTAGTTGTTAGGGAAAAATACTTAGATTTGTATGGAAATAGTCTCAGGAGAGAATATGAGATTTTTTAAAAAATAAAGATAGAGATTTAGGCTTTCAAGGTAAAAAGGTTTCTAGCAGCCTTTTTAAATTTCAAGCTATTGAAAAGTCTCAAGCTTTTGAAACTTTTAAGTATAGATTGCCTCCTCAGGGAACTTAATTTTACCATGGCAAGATGTCTCAATAAAGGCTTAGGTGTTTAGTGTATGGTGGAAGACATCGAGTTATTGAATATAGGCGTATTACTGGTGTTTGCTTTGGATATGGCCAACAAGGCCATTGTATTGCTGATTTTCCCTTCATCCCTTAAGAATCTCAATTAGTGCAGAAGGCACAAAATTATTGAACCTTTGAAATTGTTATGCAAAGAACTCAACCCACTCATGTTGTGCAGATTGCATTGACACCTCTTATTGGACATCAAAAAGTGAGAAGACCTCGCACCCAATTGCTTATGCTATCATTCAGTAAGATGCAGAGACATCAAAAACTGTTGTGTCATGTATACTGTTAGTTGCCTCTGTTTATGCTCATGTATTGTTTTAAACTAGTGCATCTCATTCTTTTGTTTTTTCTGCATTTGTTTGAAAGTCGGCCTTGCCTTATATCTTTTTGTATTATGAACTATGTGCAGAAACTCCAATTAGAGGTGAAATTGTCTCAAATTAGATTTGTAAGATATGTGTGATAAAGATTGAAGATAAAGAATTGGTTGCGGATTTGCAGGTTTTAGATATGCCAACTTTTGATATAATTTTAGGAATAGATTGGTTATTTTAAAATTTTGCTAAAGTTGATTGTTAAGGAAAAAAAAGGTTGATTTTGAAATTCTTGGAGAAACACTTTTTTGTTTTCGTGGAAATGGTATTTATACTCTTTTGAGAGTCATATTTGCTTTAAAAGCTAGGTGATTGCTTGATAATGGTTGTAAAGGATATTTAGCATCTGTTTCAGACACTTGAAAAAAGGAATTAAAGATTGAAGAGATTCCTATTGTGAAGGAATTTTTTAATGATTTTCTTGAGGATCTACCTGGTTTGCTTCCTAATAAGGAAATTGATTTCTTTATTGATTTGGTTCCAAGAACTGCTCTATTTTTAAAACTCCTTATAGAATGGCTCTTGCAGAATTGAAAGAGTTGAAAGAACAATTACAAGAACTTCTTGATAAGGGTTTTATTAGACTTAGTGTATCTCCGTGGGGAGCACCAATGCTATTCGTGAAGAAGAAAGATGGGAGTAGAGATTGTGCATTGATTGTTGAGAGTTGAATAAGGTAACTATGAAGAATATGTATCTTTTGCCACGAATAGATGATTCATTTGATTAATTAAAAGGTGCTTATGTGTTTTCGAAAATTGATCTTCGATTTGGTTACCACTTGTTGAAGGTGAGAATTGAAGATATGCCCAAAACTGCTTTCGTACTAGATATAGGCATCACGAGTTCCTTGTTATGCCTTTTGGGTTGACAAATGCTTCAACTGCTTTTATGAATTTGATGAATAGAGTTTTTAAACCATATTTGGATAAGTTTATGATTGTTTTTATAATGACATTTTGGTGTATTCCCCTAGCTCAACAAATCATGTAAAACATTTAAGAATTGTATTGGAGATAATGTATTCCTGTGAGTTTCACCTACTAGAAGAGTAATGCGATTTGAGATTCAAGGAAAACTTAGTCCTCATTATGTGGGTCCATTTGAGATTTTGGACAAGGTCGGTGATATGGCTTATAAACTAGCACTTCCACTTGTTCTATTTGGAGTACATAATGTGTTTCATGTTTCCTTGATGAAATATGTTCTAGACCCTAGTCATGTGGTGGAGTTAGCTCTTTTAAGACTTAGAGAAAATTTATCTTATGATGAGTGTCTTGTACGTATTGTGGATGGAAAAGAGCAAGTTCTGAGAAGATGGACTATTCTTTATGTTAATTAAGGTCAAGTGGAGTAATCACATAGAACAAAAAATGATTTGAGATTTGGAAGAAAATATCAAAGGAAAGTATCTCCACCTTTTTGAGAACCAAGATAAGAGTATAAAAGACTAAACTCCTTTTAAGGAGAGGAAGATGGAATACCCCTCACAAAAAAAATTTATATTATACTTTGTTAATTATGTGAGAAAAACATTTACACCTATTAAGTTATAATTTTTATAAAATAAATAAGTAAAATGTCATTTTATTTTTTTATAATTGTAGTTATGGCTTTGGAGTTTATTTAATGAAGAGAGAATAGAAGCAAGAAATTAGGTGTGGCAGTAAAGGCTTATAGTTTTTACAAAAATAAATAAGTAAAATATCATTTTATTTTTTTTATAATTGTTGTTATAACTTTGGGATTTATTTAACAAAGAAATAAGAGAAGTAAGGACTTAGGCCTGGTGATAAGTACCTTGATCTACATGTTAAAGATCTTTCGTTCAAACCTTAAACCACTAAAGTCCTTACCACAATGCTAAGTTCTTGCTCTTACAAAAAATTAAAAAAAACAATATTTAAGGTATTTATTTTAATAAAAACTAGAACTTAATAGGTATAAATGTTTTTATAACATCATTAAATAATTAAGTAAGTATAATATAATTTTTTTTTAGGGGTATTACACATGGGGACCCTGTTCTGGGGAATTTCTGTAGTGACAGGAGTGAGGGGCTGTGTAAGACTGGGGAATAGACAGAGGTATGCTGATGCAGGATTTTTTTGTTCAAACTGCAGTTTTTGTCTTGGGCATCAGGGGACAGGTGCAAACCTCCCTTGTGATTTTTGTGCACAGATATGATATCAATACAAAGATAAAGCCTTCCACAAAAAGAATATCTAACCAATTTAGTCTTTAAAGAGACTTTAAGCCGAAATATATAAGCCTCATAATTTGATGTCAACATCAACAATAATCAAATGAAAGTGTAACTGGGCAAATTCAATAAATCATATCATCTGCATTGCACTGCTAAAAAAAGAAATTAAAATTTAAGACTTAATAATCAAAGAAGAAAAGCATTTATGTGATGATTTCTTTTTTATGTAATAAAATTTTGACATACACCAAATTTCTGACCTTCTCTGTAAAAGACCAGCGGATCAAGAAGAAGAAATTTGGGTTCTCGACAATGTCTAACTCGTTTCTCAACATTATTTATTATCGAATAAAATCCTGTTACATTAACCTTGAAGCTTGGTCCCCAGTTGAAAGAATTGCATAGAGAATTTCATTCCAAGAATCGGGAACTCCAGCAAGACACCAATGGCTACAATCATTTCCCTCTTTTCCTGAGTAAAGAGAAGGGTGCCCATCTTTCCTCAACAGCGAAAGCATTGTTATATCGAGCAAAGTGACGGACTTTGACATGCTTCCCAGTACTTCCTTGACAATGTCTACTGCTGGTGGTAAACCTCCTGGATATGTTGTCCCATTCAATGGTTTGGTTTCGCCTTGGCAGGTCGCTGTCATCGGACCATTCCATTGCTTCCCACTTTCACAATTCACACCAATAACATGTTAATTACCAAAATTTATATACGAAGCCTAACATATAACAGTGCCATTGCTATATTTTTACTTACTCGTAATGGGTAGGAGAGATGCCCTGAAAGAATACTTGTGTAGTGTGAGGGTCAACATTGGAATCAACCCATCTCGACCAAGTAGTCAGTCCCTCTTTAAAAGCAGCCAATCGATCCATGTCTTTCACTATCTTTCCTCCCGATTCAATGTATTCCCAGCTGAGCCATAAAATTGAAACATCAATTATAGTATAAATTTAAACATTTAGAAAAAGAAAAAAAAGAAATATAATTTCGGAGAATGATAAAATGAAAGAATGCGTACGGTTGATTCTTTCCTTCGACTGTATGAACCCACCAATGCCAGGTATTGAAGATGAGGACATCGTATCCCTTCCATGAATAATTGCCATTATCAATAGAGTCGAGCTTCAAAACAACGCCTATGTCTTCTTTGACGAGATCAACCAGAAACACATTATGGGAATACTCCAACGAAACATTAAAGTCCTGCAATATCCATTTTTAATTGTTTCTATTTTTTTTTATTTTAGAATGGAAAAATTGCAATTAATATAGGGTCATGGAACTCACTGGTAAAGCAAAGGTAGAGAGGTTTCCCTGACTATTTAAAGTGTATTGTGATTGTGGCACAGCTACATGAACCATGCATGTGAATGACTGCCACATATTCAAGCTTATAGAGTCCCCAACGAACAACACTTTTTTCCCCTTCATCCTCCTCAAAAATTCCTCACCATTAAACCTGAATCAGCAGTTGTGTACAGCATCAAAAATATCCAATGAGATTACACAGAGACATTAATTTTTTGGATAAAATACCTTCATATTCTTAAGTTTTAACCGAAGTTTCAAACAAGTTTATTAGTTTTCGAAATAGACACTTCACTCAAAGAATGCAAATACCCTTAATAGAAATTATGAAAAGATTAAAATATTTTTTTTATTAATTTAAAAAATTTTTTTTTGAAAAATATACAAAAAAATAGAGAGCACGGTGCTCCCCTATTTTTTTTAAATTAATAAAAAAATTAATAAAAAATTATATAACAGTAATTTTTTATTAATTTTTAAAAATAATAAACGGTAAAATTATCTTTTCAATATTATCATGTCATTAAACTAATAAAAACTCTAATGGTTAAGCTTATGTATCTAACAGAAGATATTTTTTTGAAGTAAGGTATCTATTTCGAAAATTAATAAACTCGCTTAAAATTTCAATTAAAACTTAAAGAGGTGAGATATTTTACCCTAACTTTTTGATATAGTCTATTTAGCATACCTATGGTTTTTCAATATCCTTTTTTTGATATAGTAAATCCTTTCTATTTAGCATACCTATGGATTTTCAATATCCTTGTAATAAATATTCTCCCTTTTCTCGATGATGTTATCATTGACTACATAGATAGTTACAACCAAGCAATATTCTATCACTATTCATTCATTGTGATTCTGTCATTTTCTTAATGATTTGTCATTTTCATATCCTTGTATGTTTTGTCATATTCATGTTCATTCATGCTGCTAACATTTAAATTCTAAATTTTCGTTGTTTATGTTGTTCTTTTATGGGAAAATGAAAGACATTAAAACGTTTCGCCAAATGTTATTCACCAAACCATTTGAGCTTCAAGTCGATATAAGTGTTGAGCATGGAGTTTCTGCTCAAAAATCTTAGTGATTAAGAAGTACCAAAAAGAGAATCTTAGTAATCAGGAGTTTAATTTCAGTTTATCATATCCAAAAAGAAAAGAAAAGAAGAAATTACTGATAAAGATAGCTTCTTCATAATCTTGAGTTGGAAGCCTTTCCCCTAGGAAATATAATTAACAACATAATTGGCATGAAAAAAAAAAGGATAAAGGAAGTATACCTTGGCAATGTGCAAGATGCAGGCTTCCATCTATACTTCAGGTAGAGTTTGTCTAAGCGTCCATTTGCTTGACAATCAAACCCTTTCAAGATAAAGGGACATTTTGAGGTATCGTAAAGAGGGTAAGCATCGTCTTGAACCCAACTCCCCTGGAAAAAATCACAGCCATCGGATTGGGACTCAGTTTGCTGAAGCCATGAAATCAGAATAATCAAAGAAAAAGAAACATGGCAAAAGCTGATAAGAACTCCATTCCCCATTTTCAGAGAGAGAGAAAGAGAGGATGTAGGAAGGACTTGAAGAGGTGAGTAAGTTGATAATGAAATGAAAATGTTACATATATATACAGCTCAAGTTTGCTGAGCAAAAAAATATACATATACAAGTCAGGTTTTATCTGCGAAGATTGTAATTAATGTTTTTCCTCTTTCTTTTCTACTGTTTTCTCTCTTAATTTCTTACCTGGCATGTTTCAAATGCAGACAGATTTTCCTCCCTTTCTTGCAACTCCAAATTAAATATAAAGCTTTGTATGGAAAAGATGTATTGGATAATATTCCATAGGAGGATACACTACAAAAAAATTCATGCTAATATTCGCTTTCAAGCCATAACTTTGCAGAAGTGGCAAAAATATGCCATTAAAGCTGTCCTGGAGGGTGCACTTGTGCCCCCCACCTTTTCAAATTTCAACCATTAATGTGAATTAAATTTCTTTCTCAACTTAATACATACATTTAAAAAAAAAATTGTAGGCTATAATCTTCAAGTTTCCCCAGTTGTAAGAATTGCATACAAAAGTTGATTCCATGTGTCAGGAACACCAGCTAGACACCAATGGCTACAATCATTGCCCTTTAGACCAGTATAAATTGATGGGTGCCCATCTTTCCTCAGCTGTGATAGTCCGGTTATATCGAGCAAAACCACCGGCGTGGACATGTTTCTCAACACTTCTTTTACGATTGCCACAGCTGGTGGCGGTGAACCACCTGCATATATTGAAGCGGTTGCTGGTTTGGTCTGACCTATGCAGGTTGCTGATTTGGCCCCATCCCATTCCTTGCCACTGTCGAATTCATCAAATGTCAAACTGTGAGGTAGAGTGGATAATAAATTACTTCTGAATTTGAGAGTTCGAGTTGAAATTTAATGATTTGTTCATTCTTTTTAAAAGTTATTTTATAAAAATACAAAATAAAGTGTACATGAGTAGAGTTATTTATTTAAATTATAAATTTAATTTAAATAAGTTTTTCAATTTGATTCCATCCAAATATATTATTATCAAAACAACAAAAATATTTATATTAATATTGTAATATTTCAAAATTTAAAATAGCATTAATTAAATAATAATATAGTATTTTTCCGGTTTAAACTTGAAATCTAAGTCCAAGATCGGCCCAAATTGGGTAGGGCCAATTATTATTATTGATTATATAATAAGTGCATTGCAAAAATGGCATCCAATTTTTATTAATTTATTTTAATTTCCTCATTAGAAGGAAACAAAGAAGGACAAAGCTAATGCCAAGGTGAGGATTAGCAATATTAAGAAGAGAATGGCTTACTTGAAATGAGTTGGAGAAATGCCCTGAAAGAATACTTGGGTAGTGGTAGTGTTGACATTGGAATCCACCCATTTTGACCAAGTAGTTAGTCCCTCTTTGAATGCAACCGAACGATCCATATCTTTCTTCACCTTTCCTTTTGATTCAATGAAATCCCATCTGGTATCCAAACATTGAAAGCCAAATTAGTACCTGGAAATTGATTTTGATTGAATATAATTGCTGAATTTTGAAGTTTCTTACGGTTGTTTTCTTCCTTTGTGGTTCCACCAGTGCCAGCTATTGAAGATGAGCAAGTCATATCCTTTCCACAATTTGCCATTTTCAATGGAATCCAGCTTCAGAACGGTGCCTCTCTTTTCTTTTACTAGATCAACTAGAAATGCATTGCGGGAGAGCATCAATGAAACTCCATAGTCCTGCAATGATGTACATTTTTGCTCAACACAATTATCCAATGGTAACTGCAGAAATTAGGGGTCGAAAATTCGAGTACAACTGTTATATTCAAGCCATACTCTATTACCTTGCGGAACTTCCCTCGGTAACCAACTACATTTAATTAAAAGGGAAGGCAGTTGGCATTTAACTAATCAATACCAAGAGTAGCCAGCTAGATTTGGCAACTCACCGGCAAAGAAAAGGTAGAAAGGTCTCCTTTTCTGTTAATGATGTAGTTTGATTGTGGCACAGCAGCATGCAACATGCATGTGAGAGACTGCCATTGATTCAAGCTTAGGGAGTCCCCAATGAACAAGAGTTTTTTCCCTTTCAGCTTCCTCAAGAGATCCCGACCATTAAATCTGAACCCAAAACATATACCAGCTGAGAAATCCAATATTTTTAGATTCACATAAAACCAACAGGTGTCAATGAATTTCTGTCATGCGATGAATTTTGTTGCATTATGCATAATATTGTAGTCAAATTATTGGAACTTGATTGGTGAAGAGTGCTTATCACTTGGGCCAAGGTGTGGTGATGAGTTCATGTCATGCAACGCAACATTTCACTAATTTCATTTTGCTTATCTAATAATGAAAATCTTGATTTCGAAAAGACCAAATCAAATTAGTGATCAAGATCAAACGTTGAATTAATGAGGATGATTGATCTTCTTCTTTGTCCTAATTCTTTTCTTGCTGTCAAAAATAGAGGAACCTAACAAATTGCAGTCATAAAGAATCAAAACATAGGGCACTTACCTTGGCAGCATGCAATCAGTTGGCTTCCATCTATATTTGAGATAAAGTTTATCAGGGCGTCCATTTGCTTGGCAATCAAACTCTTTCTCAATGAATGGACAAGCCGATGTGTTGTAGAGAGGGTAAGATTCATCAAAAACCCAACTCCCCCGGAAAAAATCACAGCTGCCATCCAATTGTGGTTCACTCAGCCGAACTTGGTGAATGCATAAGATCATAATCCAAGAAAAAGAAATCCAACAAAACCTATGAAATCCATCCCCCATTTTAAGAGAGATGAAGAATAATATGAACATGATTTCTAGGAATCAGAATGTAGCAATTCCATCAAGAGTTTGAAAAAGGTTTACACACACACACACACATATATATATATTAAATTAGAATATGTAAGGAAAGTGTTTCTTTTTCCTGTTTTTCTTTTCTTCATTCCTAGTGGGGAATGGGAATCACTTTAAAACAAAGAAAGCTTTTCTTGTCTCCAATTTTCTTTTTCCCCTTCTGTTGGGTGTAGTTGTTTGGAAAACGTAAAGGCCAATTAATTTCCAATCATTTGTCTAGTTTAAGATACTATCCTTCTAAGAAAAGCTTCCTTTTGGGGGGTCATGCATGTTCTTTTTGGCAAGAATATATCAACCCTTTTTCTTTCAAGGAAATTCAATGGAGGTTAAGTTACAATACCATAAAGCAAAGAATCTAGCTACAATTATCAGCAGGGAATTCAGTGAATGACTGGAAATTAATTTCACGTGTCAATAAATTTCTAGCATGATTTTCGAAAAGGATATTGTGGAAGTGTACAAATTAAAGAGCAGACAAGGAAAAATCTTGCATCAGGACAAGCTAAATATTAACTGCGTTTTGTTTGATTCCACAAGGAAGTGTATAACTAGTTACATCCCATCTTTTCTTATGGTAAACTCATTTCATAATTAATAATAGGCAGCTGCATTAATAACATGTTGGTCAGAATTGAAAAGTAATTGTCATGAGTTGGTAATTATATACATCTTTTTTTCCCATATTTATTAATTTTAGACCTCAGCCTAATCAGTATGGAATAATTTGTTTGTAAAGCAATCTTTCATTGAATTATTGATTACAGAAAGGTTAAAGGCATGGGCAGCTGACCTAAGTAATGATATAAATTTTATGTACTTGAAACTGCTAATCAATAATTGCCCAGCGAAAGGGAAATAAATATTGTCATAATACTGTTCTGCGTAGTTGAGTATCAATCTTCCAATGGGGGTCTTAAAAGAAAATTCAACTATAATTTTAAAGTAATATTATTACTTCCAACAGAAGAGTTAATCAGCAAAGAACTCAGAAGGAAGCAATCTTTTAAGTAGGCCGATGCTAGCTGCCAGCTCTATTGTTATTCTCTCGATCAAGCCCACATTATTCAAATCTCTAGAGTCTAAAACACAATACCATTTCAATTTATTACCTTTTTCCTGCCATCAATATCTTATTGCCCTTAAGAAACCCAAAGTTTGGGATACAAGCCATCGAATGCTTGACAATTAAAGGTAGAATAACACTTAAACTTTAGACATCTTGAATATGCATAGAGAAGTGCCTTGATTTCCCATAGAGGGCACAAACTTTAACAACGTTGAGAGGAAATACTCTTGAGTTTGGATCTTGACTCGTTGAGAAGGGATACATGTATTTGTTCATTGGGTCAAACACCCAATTTTAATTTATTTGTTACTTTATCTTGGCAGAAATGAGAGACAATTTCGATTGTTGGGACTTAACTGCAATTAATATCAAATAATATTAATGGATTCGGATTAAGGAAAAGAGGAACTAAATTTGTAAGTGAGAGTTTACACGTTGGCCTCTAGCCCATCACATGAGCTCTGTGTGATGAGCCGATAGTGAGGTAAGAATCAAATGAGCACTTGATCATCATTATGACATTATTAGTTCACGTTAACAAATCGATGTTCAAAGAATAAGATTGTAAAGAATCTCGTTCCAAGTATCTGGAACTCCTGCAAGACACCAATGGCTGCAATCCATTCCTAACGGTGCTCCAAGCCCATACATTGAAGGATGTCCATCTTTGCGTAGCAACGAGAGCATGGTTATATCTAGCAACTTAACAGGTTTTTTCACTGTGCTTAAAACCTTCTTCAGCACATCCAAAGCTGGTGGTAAACCTCCTGGATATGTTGTACCAAGCAATGGCTGCTTCTGCCCTAGACAGTTCTTTGCCTTGGGTTCATTCCAAGATGATCCACTGGTATAAGAAATTCGAAACCATGTCAGATTAATTACTATCAGATATTGAAAATTCTGATTATGAAGGAGCTTGCACTGTCAAGCTTACTTGTAATGAGATGGAGAAATTCCCTGGAAAAAGACAAGAGATTTGGCAGGATCAATGTTGGCATCCACCCATCTAGCCCATGTGTTGAGAGCTGTTTCGAAAGCAAGCATCCGATCCATATCTTTCTTAATTACTCCTCCTACTTCAATGAAATCCCATCTGAAAAAAGTCATCAAATTCCACCAATATACGTTCCATTAAGAACATATTCAGTCGTAGTGTTTTTCTCTCGTAGCAAAGAACACAGAAAAGAAAACCATAATGGTAGCTACTAGCTTACGGTTGAGTGGGTCCGCGACGGTTCCACCAATGCCAAGTATTGAAGATAAGCATGTCAATTCCTTTCCATAGCTTGCCTCCTTCGATTGAGTCAAGCTTCAAGACCCTCCCAATCTTTTCCATCACAACATCTACCAGATACACACTGCGATCAAGCATTACCTTAACTCCATAATCCTGCATATTTTCACAAATCATGATGAGCGTTTGCAAATAACAAACTAATGACAACATTAATCAGTGTTCTAATTTTAAAATTTTGATCCATGACAACCATTATGTACGTTACTGCTTGCTTTTATCTTATTTACTGGATCAGTATAGCAGATGCCTAATAGCAATTCTGATTATCAGAAGAATACCCTTTTAAGGAAAAAACTGAATTTGTTTCTCTGTTATTGGATCTCCATTTAGGCCAATGGAAATTGATTGCCATAGGTGCCTGGCACATGACAGATTTAACCACTGTGAAGTTGACCAGTGAACAATACAGACAGACTCTTAAATTCTTTCACAAAAAGGTTCCTTTGAGGTTTTAACATATGGAAAATGGACAGTGAAAAGACCACATTGATGGTAACATTGTTGGAGAACCAATGGAAAATCAAGAAGCCTTCCATGACAAACGAAAGAGGTAGCCAATTTCAGCAAGTAAAATACAAATTGATTAGTTAAATCGTGACAAAATGACTTTACAATTGTCTGGTCTGATATGATAGATGAGTGATGCAGAAATTTAAACTACCACATGTAGATAGGAAATGACAATCATACCATCCAGCCCACCACCCTTTTGTTTTTAATCAAATCTATTCTACCATTAACCACAAGAAAGCTTTTGCTAAAGTTAATGTCATAAATATCGAATTTGTCACTATGTTATGATTCAATATTGAATTTTGTCATTATATTTTTAGTTATGTTAAATTTTATTATCATATTTTAATAATGTTAATTTTATCTAAAAATCAATAAAAATAATCGATTGGTAACAAAATTTAATGTAATTGAGGTATAATGGCAACATTTTCAACATTAAACTATAGTATAGTGACAAATTTGAATACTATCCCCAAGTTTATGCTGTATTTTGGTTAAAGAGATAGGAATTTGAATCACAAATTTGGACTTGATGATCATGTTAACTCTTAAGAAAATTTTTAAAAACTAAGAAAGAAAGAACTTGTAAATCCCCGAATTTAATACCGAAAACAGTGCCTCCTAAGTAAAAGATGTGAAGAAAATGGAAAAGATTGAGGGTTTAACGCACCAGGAATTCAAATGTGGAGACATCTCCTACTCTAGTAATGTTGAATTCGGCATTGGGAACTGCAGAATGAAGCATGCATGTCAAGGATTGCCATTGGTTTCGACTTAGAGAGTCCCCCACAAACATTATGCTCTTCCCGCTAAACTTTTCTAGGAAGTTGAATGCATTAAATCTACAAACAAGAAAACATTAATTGTTAATTATTATCAACCCAAATGAAATTATTTACTTATAACTTCAAAAAGAGTATGAAAATCCTACATCTTAAATTCTTCAATTGAAGGATCCAATCGATATAAGATAAAAAGATTAGGGGCAAAAAGTGAGATACGGTAAAGACATCCCCACCGCAGATCTCGTGAGGTTGACAGCACGAAACAAGAGTTCCATTCCCACGTGCTAGAGAATCAATGTCCAGTATACATAACATTTTATATTCCACGCGCTGATTGAGAGCGTGCAAAAACCCTGACCAATCAGCGTGCTAATAATCTTTTTCCGTGTTCAGCAAAGCATAGCCAAGCGACAATTAACCACGCGCTTCGGAAGTAAAGATTAGTTCACGTGAAGTGAGAAATGGAAGTTCAATATATAGCTTTGATGTGTTTCATAAGGAGAGGAAATGCAGTTCACATGGGAAGAAAAGGATTGAAGGGGCTAACAAGAAAAATAATTAATAAATAAATTATTAAATGAATACGTGTTAATTCTTTAATTTCGTTTGTGAAGTTTAAAAATTTCATTGCTAATAAATGAATAGATTAAGTAGTAAATTTTTTAATTTCACCGTCACTGGTCAAATGGGGTTATGATACAACTTTTAATGTACATTGCAATTGATTGAGTCGCAAAACCATGTTTATAGAATTGTATCTTGTACTTTAACTATGATTGGGATGCTTGATAAATCATCCAAACCGAATGCATGTTGCTTCCAAAGAAGTTTAAAATCTGAGTTCTTGAGTGAAAATGAGAAAGGAGAGAGTTGCTGAGGATTTAGGTATAACTAAACTTATGTAGCAATGAAAGGGTTCATTTAGGCTTGGCGAGTACTGCCCACATTAAATCAATGGCAGCCCCAGCTGAGTGCGTCCAGAGTAGCCTAACAAAACCAACTTTACTGCTGGCCTATGGCCACCACAACAAACATAAATTTACCATGGCGACCTCCCCCCATCTTTCCAAACTTGCAATATGCCAGTATCTCTATGTTGAACTGGCATACAATAAAAACTGTTCAGCCCCCATAGGCCATAACCTGTCTTTTCCTGCCAATTGGAGACAACTACTTTTAATGTGTTAAAATGGAGGCTAAAGATCCCATTATACATCAACCACTAACTTACTTTTTTCATTTTTCAAACAAAGCAGCAGCAAATTATTCACGAGAGAGAATAGAGACAGAGATAAAAGTAAGAGGAGATAGAACGGGGGTACCTTGTCAAGGTGCAATCAAGAGGCTGCCATCTATACTGTGTGTAAATCAGGTCTTGGCGTCCATTTTTTTGGCAACTGAACTCTCTCTTAATGAAAGGGCAAGCAGACGCGGAGTACAGAGGGTAAGACGGATCAAAAACCCACCTGCCTGTAAAGAAATCACATCCAGAGACAGGGCCATAGGCAGCCGCATTTCCTTGGTAAACAATACCCAAAACCATGAACAATGACGATGAAACAAGGAAACTGGAATGAACCCATAACCCCATTTTGCCTGTTACCTCTCTCTAAACAGGGAAAGAGAGGAGCAGAGACAGAGAAAAAGACGAGAGAAAGAAAGAGAAGGATTTTTTCAAATAAGAGAAGAAAAATAAGGGACTTGAGACGGGGAAACAGGGAACCACTCTTTCTCTCTCTCTCTCTCAGAGATGTGTTCTGGCCTGGCCAAGCCTGGCCTGTTACATCTTTATATAGTAGTGTGTTTGCGTTCCATTATATCTATGTCAGACTCGAAGAAGTTTACATACATAAGACTTTCCATTGTGTCATTAGCCATATGGTACCACAGACACTGACTAAAACATTTTTATTTTCGTTGGCCTCTTTTTCAATGGTAATGAATGAGAACAGCTATCAGTTTTGTTAAATTCTTCTTATCACAGCAGTTTTAAGTCCAACACGTCAAAAATAGTTATCATATATGAATCTATAAGCACTTTATTATTAAACTGACAGAGTTGTTCTTATTATTAAGTTGCAGACTCATTTATACTGACATATTACTACTTTATATATTAAGTCCACATCTAATAACATAATAGAAAACGTGTATGTAATACTTTCCAGTTATTCGACAGAATGACAAAATTTAACCCAGCAAGATACTGACTTATATATTTTTGACGGCATTGTGATAGCATTGCCCTGCAAAGGGAAAGGGAGAGACAAGTGGGCGTAGCAGCAGTGACAGCAGGGGATACGGCTTTTCATTTTTTGTAAGTTTTTGCTGGGGGGGTGAAAAGTGAATTATCACTCGAGGAAAGATTGGCTGCCTGCTGATACATTAGGATCACGATGGAGAAGTCGAGAGCAGATCAGACGTACGTGGACAAAGCATTTGTGGGTCCTGATTGATGGGGAAATAATACTGTCACAGCCTGTAACTTTACTCTTGCACAAGGGAAAGGGATTGCACGTGATTCTTCACTTTTATCAGTCACTGCAATTTAATTACAACTACAGCACGTTCAAAGTTGAATGTCAATGTTACTTAGATGTTTCAATGTAATGCCTGGAGAAACGCTTTTCAGTCTTATCCTTAATTGAAATTTTAACTTTAGGATAGATGCTTTTTAATTTTTATATTATTATTTTAAGATTAAATTTATAAATTAAAAAATAAATTTATTTTTTAAAAATTTATATCATTTTCCAAGTAAATATTTAATTTGAAATCAAGCGAGCACTTATTTGCACTTACAACTAGTATATATATATATATATATATATATATTATTAAGATTTTAATGGATTCATTTTTAAAAAAATATATAATAATAAGGATTTTAATGGTTTCATTTAATTCAAATTAATGACTCTACATGTTCAAACCTAGAATCATTACTTGTAACTTGACGAGGAATATTTTAATCAAAATTATAAGTTTATTTTCCTATGTATTATAATTTTTAATGTGCTAATATTCTACTCCCTCCATTTCATAATTAGTATTTGAGTTTAACATTTTTTTATCAAACTTTTTTGAGTATAATTACCTTTTATATGTCAATTATTATTAATTAAAATTTAAATGAAAACTACTCTTTCAAGACTATGAATAAATAGTTTTTGAACATATTTGTTAAAATATAATTTAATCAAATATTTTAATTTTTGAGTAAAAGAACCAAATTAAGACAATATTTATGAAATCAAGGTAATAATTTATTTAGTGTTAGGTATTTATCACCATCATCATATATAGACAATACATATGGTGCATCTTTAGATTTGTCATCTCTCTATTTTTCTTAAAAAAAAAAAGAAATAATCTGAAAAGAAATCATTAATAGTACATAGTTATTACTATATAGGATTGAACTAAGGTCCAAGCTCCCATATACTGCCTTTCTCATTTAAGATTTGTATGTTTCGTTTTTTGCACGTAATTGGAAGTGGCAAAGTTCACCTCAGTTTTCTAGACTTTGCTGTGCATGGTTTGATCATCACTCCTAAATCCTGACACTCAACGATTGGATGTTTGCAACTGCCTAAAGCCAAGCTAAGAAGCTGACACATAGCATCAAGGTATAGGATTCCATAACCCAACTTGGAAAACTGCCAGTTGAACAGACTTGGGACCAAGATGATTTTTTGTGATGCAAGAAATCCTAGCTGATAACCTAACAAAAAAGAGAAGCAAAAAACAAGAAAGACTGTGCAATTGGGTTTTGTTTTCTTGAATAAATTTTTTTGATGCTTTTGTTTTCCTTTTGCAATTGGGTTTCTCCAAGACTTTTTGCAGACAGACAAAACTTGTTTGTGTTGTGACACCATGATTGGTTATAAACTTTTGTTGCTTTCACTCTACTGATTCATCTTTGCTTGTTTCCTTGTTTACTTGAAAGGAAATACAATAAAGTAGAGATTTGATTTAGAGGGAACGTCCATTGTTGAACAGCTGTAATGAGCCCCCTCTGTAGCCTCTTTTGTATGGTTTCCATTCCAAGAACAAATCCATGAAGACTCATTGTCAAGGATTTCTTGAAATGGATAGATAGATGAATGCCTAACTGACAACAATTTAACTGAATGCTGCTGCTGAGCAGGATTATTCAAGTTTCTGAATAGAATGAGTTGTATCTGAAGTTGACATGTGTATGACGAGCAATATGAATGAATCAAGCAGACCCTTATTCTAATCCTAGATGTGGAATTAACCATTTGGGTTCAGCCTAGCAAACAAATGGATAAGCTCTGTAAGTACTTACTGTCTGGGATAAAAGTAACTCAAGTACCCAGAAATGTTTCCTTCCATTGTGTTCATGAAGAGAGAGGCAATGGAACACATAAACATGGTTTAATGTTCTTGTTTCTCAATTTTTTATGCAAAACAAAGAAATGCAAAGGCCAAAATTTTTGCTACTATGCACTAATCCACTTTTACCTGGTTTCTCCAAGTTCTAGCAGGGTTGAAACTTCATGACACTTCTCAGACAAAATCAAAAGTACAGTTTCTAACAGTGCTATGCACTAGATGTTACACTTGTCCGTTTTTGCAGATTGCCTTTACCATCACTGTTGAATCGCTAGTGCCATGGTAAAAACTTCTATGGAATTCTTAAAATATTGCATCAAGAAGTTAAAAACAAGAATGCTAAGTATCCAAAAAGCAACAACCATAATCTCTGGAAGTGATTGACACCTGCTGCCAACTATATGCTATACCTTATAACAACCCTCATCCTGCAGATAATGTTGGCTTTTTTTCTTTTTTTTTTTGGCTTAGCAGACACTGTTGGCCTGTTATCTCACTACCCTTTCTGATATTTGAAACAAAATAAGGACAAGGAACCATAGGTTCGGATTATTGTCTGACAGGACAAACAGCTTCCATCAAGAACAAATTGTTTTTAATTATTTTCGATCTCTTGGTATATATAAAATGATCACTTCACGCTAATTAATCTTTGCAAATGCACCTTCAACTTAATCACCTCACACAAGAAAAATGTTCGTTGTACCTTTCCTTTAAGGTATTCGGATAGCTAATCATGACACTTTTTTTTTTTTTAATTTGTTGAATCTCTGTTCTGCCAATAACCGGAAGTCAAACTGATTGGATAGAGATCAGCAGCAGATGTAGAAGAAGTTGATGGCACATCTGCTAGCTGGCGGCCACTCTTTGTCAGACTGTTATCGGTTTCATTTTCTTCAATTTGCTGATACAACTTCATTGCAGTGATAAACTCATCAGTAGAAATACTCGAATCTGCAACGAACTCCGGAACTGCATCCCTTCCTTCAAGCATGCTCACCACAGAAGACATGGAAGGCCTTGCTGCAGCAGTTTGATTAGTGCATAGGAGAGCCACATTGATCATTACCATCACCTCTTCAATGTTGCAATTAGAGCCTATCCTTGGATCGACTAAATCCAACAAGCTCCCTTTCTCCTTCAAAATATGAGCCTAGAAACACAAAATTAATTGCTACATTGATTTTCATTTTAGAAATATTACACTTAAAACTGACAAAGACATAAGCTCCATTTGAGATAATAAAAATGAAACATGGATATATCCAGCAAACTGCAACCCTGGAAGAGTAAGCATTCCCTCATTTAAAGATCAAAGTAGTATTGTATTTCAAAAACTCAATCTTTGTTGTACAAGCATGATGGTTGTGAGATTAGTCATTTAACAAACCTCTCTCATTTAATTCTGTTAAGACAGCATTACAACATTAATAAACAATGGAAGAGAGAATTAGAGCTTACTTACCCAATCAAGGAGATAGAAAGATTCTTGCTTTAACCGGTTTTGAGTGTTGCACCTGCCACTAACAATTTCAAGGGCCACGATCCCAAAACTATATACATCTGCTTTGTCAGTTAAATGACCTCGCAATGCATACTCAGGTGCCATATAGCCCCTGCAAAGTGAAGAAGCTTAATTAAATACAGCTTTTTTTGTGTCAGTCACTTCTATAGATTGCTATTAGCATAACATTTATCTTTGATCCTTTGTGCCAAAAACCAAATCACTGTGTCAAGTTGCACTAGAGAGCACCTAACCTAGAAATTTCTATACTGTCAAATGTTTCTTCAAGCGAAATTGAAAATGTAGATAGGCAAATTTCTCTGTCCCTGTGCCAGTAGATATATCCTCTAGGAAATTTTCTATCATACATTGGCATTTGAGAAAAAGGAAAATGCATATAAATGAAGTAGAGGAACACATTGACAATCAATCTAAACAGATATACTTACATAGTTCCGGAAATTTGGGTGCTTATGTGGGTGTTATCCTCTTCATCAGCTTGGCCCAACCAAAGTCAGATATTTTTGGGTTTAGATTCTTATCAAGTAACACATGGGTGGCCTTAATGTCTCTATGGACAATCTTCAACCTTGATTCTTCATGGAGATAAGCTAGACCTCTTGCTATGCCAATGCAGATCTTTCGCCTTGTTGGCCAGTCTAATTTCAACTGATATTCTTCCGGGCCTTTTAATAACCAAATAAAGAGAAGCTCAGATAGAACAAACATACGTCTGTTCATTGATTATTAAATACAAGCATTTGCATGTGCTTGGCTGTTGCATGTGCGTGTGTGTGTTTGAGCATACCATTGAATATCATTAATATCAAAGGCAGTAAAAGCAAATAATGTGGACAGTATCTACCAAAAAATGCACGAGCAAGGCCG